ATCCCAATTATTTCAATTCGCTTGTTTAGTTCAATATGCGTTTGAACAATTCATCATCTCTGTGGGTTTATTTTGGATTTGGGTAACTTGAGTTTCGTCCATGTGGAATTTCATCTCCTCCGTCCATTTTCGGAATTTATTCGTTTGTTATGTGACTTGGAATTGTAATATTATTAATGCGATTATTTATTACTATCATTATTTTCAATAGTATTTTAATGATTGCTATTATCACCATCGTCGTTACAGTTGGAAGGAACATTGAGGCTTATTTATTGTATTGGTCTTAATGTGCGATCAAAAAGGTATCAATCGTTATTGTGCAATTTTACAGTTCATTTTGTGACAGATAAATGAAACAATCTTAATTTTATTACTGTTATTTGGTTATTTATTGCTTTGTTGTATGAGATTAGTGTAATTCAATCGTGTAAGAATTCAGTGATAAACTCATCGTCAAATATGTTTAACAAGAGAAGATCATTCACATAAAAATGATGGTATATGTAATAAGCATGTAAATGAAAAGCACACGCAAAAATTATGGTGTTCGATGTGACTGCGAATTTTCATTATTGAAAACTGGCGAGGTTGAGAAGCACTGACGTAGGTAAAGAATATCATAGAATTGTTAAGAGATGATATGATAATGGATAGAATAAGATCTGGTCATGACAGCATTGAGCATTTTACAAAAATCGTCGTCATGATCGTACAATTGCGTGAACAAATAGGAGAAATCAAATGCTGAAGCAACACGCATAATTTGAAATCAATATTTGTCAAGTATTATTTCAACAACTTTCTATTGTTTCGTCTAATTTGAATGTAATTTGTATGTCTGGGTTAATGACTTTGATAAGGCATTAGCTATTTTTGTTGAGTATTTAGAATCGCTTAGAGTCCAGGAATCGCGTTTGCCATTCTTTAATTATCACCATTGAATGTTTCAAACGGAATGAAAGTTTCTCTCAAATATCTCAAGATTCACATGGATGATATCGGTTCATCAGTGTAAGGTTTGTCCATGTTATGCAGACCATCCTTTCACTCGTAGACTAGTATTACAATATCGAGTGATCAGTTAAAATCCACACGGGTAAGTTGAGATATGCCGTCTGAAATCGCAATTTCCATGAATAAAACCATCGTCACGCACCTCGAGCGCATGCACAACACTGCTCACTTGTTCTGTTGCAGTCATATTTTGAGCATACTGATCGCTTAACACATCAACTAATTCCTGGAAAAATAATCGATGAGACATCAAATTTGCATGAATAATTCAAATAAATAGTAAGGTTTGAGCAAATGATATGCAACCTTAATGGTAGCCAAGCAAGTGAATAATCTAACAAATAACAAATGGATACGAGTAATTGAGTAAATAAATTGGAATTATACGGGTGTATTTTCAACGAGACGTAAAATTAACTATAAATTAAAAATGTTCCTGAATATTTTGACGATGAGTTATTGACGGAACTAAAATATAAAACAACTGAACAGATGAATGAGTATTAGATTGTTTGAGTGAATAAACGAAACGAGCGACGAATCAATGAACAATAAGATTGTGAATGAATATCAACCTTCGGAAAAGTCTGTTCATATAAAGTTTGGTGCGGCATAAACTGATTATGCAGACGTTGAGCGTCAATCGCCTCTTTGATGGTTTCATTGAGCAGAATCGATCTTATCACCGTTTGCGCGATTGATGAAATTACCGCTGATCCACCGTCTGCACCAATCACTAACCGTACCTGTAGGCGCAAAAAAACAACTGAACATTCAATTTTCACCAAGTTTTGTGGGGACTCGACGAGTTAGAATCAGTCCCACTGGTAGTCTCAATTGATCTGACATTCGAGATCGGTGTAAGAAATCGAGGTGCTAAATTCCGTCGGAAGCTAAATTCCATTTCATTTCATTTCTCGAATCTGCCCAACATTACTTTTAGTTTTTGCAAACATTCCTTCATTAAAAATAATTTCTCTGAATCAAAGTTCGCTCTTTAGATGCCTTTCGAAGCATTGAATTCTGGTGATTTCCATTTTTTTGCTGACTATTGAATCAATAGATTGATCATGCAACAGCTTGCCATATTCTTATCTTCGCAGTCAAATAGTCACGGTGATATTTCATCAATCGAGTCAATTTTTGCACTCACTTTTCCGGTACTTTTCTTGTAGATAATCATCGGTGACATGCTACTCATTGATCGCTTTCCAGGCTCAATGAAGTTCATTTCAAACGTCAAATTGTCACCTTCCACTGGTGTCGAAAAGTCATTCAGTTCGTCATTCCATATAATGCCGAGTGTTGGTGAGACTCGCATTGAGCCAAGTCTACAACAAGAGCAAATTTTCAATTGCGCTTCTTAATCTCATATTGACCGACTGGCCAATGTCACCACATCTGATGCTTGATAATGGTGAAGCCGACCACAAGAATAGACGACAGTAAAGAGTTATAAGGCAATTTTGGAAATAAATATGCTGGAACAGAGTGTGACTTCGTACACCTTTAAGATAGATTTGAGATTTGAGTCTGAAGTGGGTACGAAGATACTCGTATCAATGATGGACGATATTAAATGAAACGAAAAAGCCTGATTGATCGAGAGGTGAAACTGCTTATCAGCTTTCTGATCAATGATTTGGTTTACAAATTATACATGTACGATTGCCGATACAAGTAAGTACAGCATCATAAAAGTTCAAGAGGATAGAACAAAAATGGGTAGCGGGTAGACAAATTTTCCTTACAATTAGATAGCTACAGATGCAATATGTCTTAACTGCCCGAAAACTTTCTGCGTTACACCTAACAGCATCAAAAATTCAGGTTAAGTCTCAATGTGGTTGATATGTCACTTACATTTGATTAATGGTACTGGTGCATGAGACAGCGTTGCCGTCCCTATCGATAGCACTCACGTGTGACGTTCCGCGATCACTTACTTGATACGTAGTGGAATAATTCAGCGAATAGTAATCAGATGGTTGAGCTTGTGCTTTGATCAACGAACCAATCCACTGAGCGTATGATCTCAAATTGTTTGGTTCAACTGATTTTGTAAGTATCATCTTGATGCTTGTTCTTTTGGCGTAGTTGAAAAGAAATGTGCGAATGTGTTGAGGTTGTCTATTGGGAAGAATAGTTTGTGAGAAAAGTATGCATTTTGACTAGAGTACAACCGGTCATTCGATCATCTATATAACACTGTGTGAGAATGTGAAGGTCGAGGGTTTCTTGGCGAGACAACGTTGAATTACATAGGGTTAAGTTATTTTGACGGTAACAATTCATAATAAAAGATATAACAATATCAAATAGGCATCTTCATGTTGACGATCCGTGAACGTTGAATCGAAGTTAATATAGATGAAATATCCTATCGCACCTACTTGTTGGTCATATTCTGTGCCACTTTAAGAGCATCCGCCACAAATTCCACATCGCCGAACCGACTGCGCTGTGCGAAAGCAAACTTTTCGGCTTCAATAATTCGATGGTAAAACAGCGCATCATTCGTATCAATTGCATTCTCAGTATCATCAGCATAGAGCTCTGAAGATATTGCGCATTTTAGAGAATCATTTCGATGAACGAAGCGAACTGCTAAAATTTCCATTGATAGCCAATGAACAAACAACTCATTTGTTGTAGATCATTTGTGGTGTCTCATGCATGATGGATCTATTTCTTCATGGTTATATTTCATGAAAAGAACTGAAAGCACAGCTTCAATTGGATCATCCATATGGAATTTTTTTGCGTCACTGATGAAATTTTCACATGCACCAAACATTGTACTGTGCTTCCCCCTTGAATATATTGCAGTTTATTGATATTGATATTGACATATTGACTTTTTTCCTTCAATCCATGAACCTTATCGAAACAATATTGCAGTGCGAGAAATGTTCTTGAAGAAGTGTTCAATAAGATTTAGAATTTCTCATTTCCAGATCTGCTTTTGTCTACGCGGAAGATATCCCAGAAATTAATGAGCATTAAAGTGATTTGCACTGATAATAGACGAGCGTGCATATAAGAGTAATGTTACGAGACGATAAAAAGTTGCATGCTTCCAAGGAGACAGACAACTTGACGCAAGTATACATCTTGAATTGAGCATTTGAACTGTACCCGAAAGAACTGCAACAATGCTTTGTGTGATGGCGAATGAACTCGGTGGAGCCGGTCCACACATTGACAGCTCACCAGCCAGCAGATTGTCGTTCTCGATCGGTATCTCATCGATAAGCGTCTCGTAGGCACTCAAATCATCCAGTGTCACATATCCTCCTGATTTTACACAGCAATTGATCACATCTTATCATCACAGATCAAATTTTGTTAGATTGTCATTTGAATTTGCTCAAATTTTTGTGACAAAATTAGAATGGGCGAAAACTTCAGTTAGCATATTGCAACATTTGAATCTTCTTCCTATGGTTCTTTCAAAATTCCTTAATATTTATTCACTGAAGGTGTTTGTGGTGTTATATTTTACAGTTTGAAACTATAGAACAGTTTTTTAAATGAAACTCTAAAATACCGTGTTCTTGAACTTCAGCCACAATTGTTTGCGCAACGCCACCTGGAATTTTCAGTTCAATTTTCAAATTTCAAGTGGACAATTGGAAAATTATTGTTCAAAATAAAAAACTTATGATTGTTGAAATGTTTTTGAGGATGGAGTAGTCGAATCTTCGAAGATATTTACGAGTGATTTTGCTGAATTCATTGGAATGAAGCATAGAATTTAGTCTTTTGCACAATTGATTAATTAGTTTAATTTAACCTTTATAGAAAAGTTGAACAGGATCAGATGAGTTTGCAATCAACTGCAATGTGAATCCAAGATGTTCTCGTTTTATCAGGTCACCTTCTTCGTAGACACGCTCTGTGGCTGCATCCACGAAGGTTCGCCTTCAAAACATTCGCATAATCGTTGGACTGCGTCAACTTTCAGAAACAATATTCGAAAGATGAAATTGTTGATCAGCATATATGTATTACTGTATCAGCGTAAATGTATTCCTTTTGTAGAGTTTGCCTCAAAGCTTGTGATTATTTATTGATCAATCATTGATCATTTAATCAGCAACTCGTAAAAAATTCAGCTTCTTTTTTAGCATCATGAATACTTCATTCGTTCTTCTAATCGTAAGACATAGCTGAAGGTAATAGTGCAGGAAACCATCCGCCTTCACAAAATTTTAATCTCAACAACTGATTCGGCTATGACAGAAGTTATAGATCACATAATTCTAAGAACACTTTAAGTTGTCTTTAACTTGTACTACGCTAAAATGAGTGCTGACTTACTTAAGTGATGGTTCAGCAAGAATTTGCTCTTCCTTCTGGGCGATTTGGAACGCAAGATGAGAGGAAACTGGAAAACCGTTCAGAGCCAGCTTAATGGATGGTTCGAAGAGACGTACCCACGACACTTTACCACTTCCGAACTTTTGATAAACTGTCCAAAGACCGTGCAATTCGGACGGAGTAGCCATCGAGCGATATCCTGTGGGACAGTGAAGGCATACTTTCGATGATACACCAAAGAAAATGCAGCTTGAGAACAAACTGAATGCACAA